TTACCCATTGTGCAAACCCAAGCTGGACACAAATCTATTTCATTCCTTGGTGCTGACCGCTTTAATGCGCTTCCCGGATCCCTTCGCGCTAATCCTATCCCCAATTCATTTTGCCAGGAACTTAACACATTCATTCATCTTGAGCACCCTGTAAGAAGACCTTACAGTCCATTCATTGGAAACTGGCACCCTAACTTTTTGGTGTCTCTCTCACATAGTTGTAGATATCTTGAAAACAAAAGTACATCCTGCATTGTGTGACCTGTGCAATTACTCCTTGCCACATTTGAGGCCAGAAAAGTCCAAGAACAGGGAAATAGAAATTCAGCCAGGTTTTACAAAATTAGGACAGGTATGCCATGGCAAAATGTATGGAGAAGCAGATCCCAAACCCAGATTTTTAAAATTTAAAGTGGGTTTTTGATCCTCAATTTGGCCCAAATCCGACTTTCAAAAGCCAGCGGGCAGGTTTCCGATGAATGGACTGTAGGGTCAGTTGGGAATGCCCAAGAAAAAATAATAAAGTGCAATAAAAAAATGATATGTTCAAATAAACAATGAAATACTGTAAAACATGTAATTTTAGGTGCATTAAAATTTCGGTGCCAGGGACCTGCCAGGTTTCAGGTGTAATTTAGAATTAGGTGACCAGCGATCCCTTCACATACAGTGCATACTCTTGTGCCTTTTAGGTGTATTTTAAATTTAGGTGCCTGGTTCCTCTACCGAAATCACCGAAATTAAAGTTACACCGAAAATTACATGATTTACAGTACACGTAAAGCTGTACATGCCCCAGACCTACTTCACAGCATACATACAGAGCCCGGTGAGAAGTAGCTAGTCTGCGCTGTACGTACCTGCGATGCGGGATGGCATTGTTCATAAACAGTACACCACCTCTCGGCATCTCGCAGGTCACAACGTCACTTTCGTTTACACCTGAGTTTGCGGACAAGAAGATAAGAGGGCGCATCAGCAGCAAAGTAAGACGCAGATTGTAACAAAGCAATACGTAAAGGAAACTTCGGGAACTACACAATTGCTAGCAAGACAAATACCGAGCTAAATGTTAGCATTAGTGTTAATCATGAAATACGTATTAGCTTTGTGGAAGAAAATTGTTCAAAACCACTGCATATCAGTTTTGGTATGTTCTCTCTTTTTAAATGTTATCCTTGGCTTTCCATCCGAGTCTAGTCTGAAAACCTGATGAGCCGTCAACATTTATACAGCCAAACGTTGTCATGTGACGGTCCTTCACACGTTGATGGTTAAACAATACGGGTACCGTATTTCCGCGCATATAAAGCCATGGCGTTATATTCGAATATAAGGCCACCCTCACTTATAAAGCCATGGCGTTATAAGTGAACAAAATTGAATGTGGAGGATTTTGCATCTGGCGTTAAAGGTGAGTTCAGTTCTTTCAGAGAACATACAGTAGCGGTGATTCTCTCTGTACCCATCCCCACTGCCATATGCCACCTTGTACACAATAGGTTCGCAATTTGAAATTTTCAGAGAAAATTGAAAGTACATGGATGCTCGACATGAACGTGCTCCGGTACCGTACGAGTACTCGAAGTTCATACTCTGCCGATTTTTTGCATGTACGCGTCGCGTCACTCACTTTTAGCGCCATGGCGCTAAATCCGAGGCTATTTTCTGTAAAAAATTTGGTCCAAAACAGCGATTTCACCTATAACGCCATGGCTTTCTATGCGCGGAAATACGGTATGGTGTATGGTAACCTGGACCAACTATGGAGCATGGTTGTCTGGACCAGTTATAGAGTATGGTTGTCTGGACCAGTTATTGAGTATGGTTGTCTGGGCCAGTTATGGAGTATGGTTGTCTGGATCAGTTATGGAGTATGGTTGTCTGGACCAGCTATGGAGTATGGTTGTCTGGACCAGTTATTGAGTATGGTTGTCTGGACCAACTATGGAGTATGGTTGTCTGGACCAACTATGGAGCATGGTTGTCTGGACTAGTTACGGAGTATGGTTGTCTGGACCAACTATGGAGTATGGTTGTCTGGACCAGTTATGATTTGTGGTTGTCTGGACCAACTATGGAGCATGGTTGTCTGGACCAGTTATGGAGTATGGTTGTCTGGACCAACTATGGAGCATGGTTGTCTGGACCAGTTATGGAGCATGGTTGTCTGGACCAACTATGGGGTATGGTTGTCTGGACCAGTCATGGAGTATGGTTTTCTGGACCAACTATGGAGTACGGTTGCCTGGACCAGTTATGGAGTATGGTTGTCTGAAGCAACTATGGAGTAAGGCTGTCTGGACCAGTTATGGCGTATGGTTGTCTGGACCAGCTATGATGTATGGTTGTCTGGAGCAAAGATGGAGTATGATTGTCTGGACCAGTTATGGAGTATGGTTGTCTGGATCAGTTATGGAGTATGGTTGTCTGGACCAGTTATGGAGTTTGGTTGTCTGGACCAGTTATGGAGTATGGTTGTCTGGACCAGCAATGGAGAATGGTTGTCTGGACCAGTTATGGAGTATGGTTGTCTGGACCAGGTATGGAGTATGGTTGTCTGGATCAGCTATGGAGTATGGTTGTCTGTACCAGATATGGAGTATGGTGATATGGACCAACTATAGAGTATGGTTGTCTGGACCAGCTATGGAGTATGGTTGTCTGGACCAAATATGATGTGTGGTTGTCTGGACCAACTATGGAGCATGGTTGTCTGGACCAGTTATGGAGTACGGTTGTCTGGACCAACTATGGAGTATGGTTGCCTGGACCAGCTATGGAGTATGGTTGTCTGGACCAGCTATGGAGAATGGTTGTCTGGAACAGCTATGGAGTATGGTTGTCTGGACCAGCTATGGAGTATGGTTGTCTGGAGCAACTATGGAGTACGGTTGCCTGGACCAGTTATGGAGTATGGTTGTCTGAAGCAACTATGGAGTATGGCTGTCTGGATCAGTTATGCAGTATGGCTCTCTGGATCAGTTATGGAGTATGGTTGTCTGGACCACCAATGGAGAATGGTTGTCTGGACCAGCTATGGAGTATTGTTGTCTGTACCAGATATGGAGTATGGTGATATGGACCAACTATGGAGTATGGTTGTCTGGACCAGCTACGGAGTATGGTTGTCTGGACCAGATATGGAGTATGGTGATATGGACCAACTATGGAGTATGGTTGTCTGGACCATATATGATGTGTGGTTGTCTGGACCAACTATGGAGCATGGTTGTCTGGACCAGTTATGGAGTATGGTTGTCTGGACCAACTATGGAGTATGGTTGTCTGGACCAGTCATGGAGTATGGTTTTCTGGACCAACTATGGAATATGGTTGTCTGGAGCAACTATGGAGTACGGTTGCCTGGACCAGTTATGGAGTATGGTTGTCTGAAGCAACTATGGAGTAAGGCTGTCTGGACCAGTTATGGCGTATGGTTGTCTGGACCAGCTATGATGTATGGTTGTCTGGAGTATGATTGTCTGGACCAGTTATGGAGTATGGTTGTCTGGATCAGTTATGGAGTATGGTTGTCTTGACCAGTTATGGAGTTTGGTTGTCTGGACCAGTTATGGAGTATGGTTGTCTGGACCAGCAATGGAGAATGGTTGTCTGGACCAGTTATGGAGTATGGTTGTCTGGACCAGCTATGGAGTATGGTTGTCTGGACCAGCTATGGAGTATGGTTGTCGGACTGGCTATAGGGTATGGCTGGTCAGTGCAGCCGCTAGGCATGGCTGACAGCTACAGCGATGATGAACTGAACTGATAAGGACCAGAATGACGGGTATCAGCACCTGCCACACCGTGTTTGACACGCTTTGATTGATGGATAGCAACTGCTCGATCAAGATACCCCAGTGGTAAACAAACTCGCCAGATCCAATCAAGGTACCCCCCCCCCCACTCCCCTCTAACCCGGTGATAAAATAAACTGTCCAGTTGATCAAGGTCCCCCCCCCCTCTCTAGTGATAAACAAACTGTTCAGAATCGATCAAGGTACCCCCCCCCCCGCCCCAATGATAAAAGAACAAACTAGCTTACCGAGAGTATGCTCCATATCGTTCATGTCACACTGCACGTACCACGTATCGCCGGCGCAGCACGTGTGCTTGGCTGTAACGCCGGACCTGTGTCCACCGCGTAGGACCTGTGCAGGTACAGTGTATGTGTGTATGTGTGTGTGGGTGTGTATGGGTGTATGTGTGTGTGGGTGTGTGTAAGTTACACGTATGCGTGTACATTGTATGAAGTCAGTACAGCAAAGGTACATGATTGTATATGTATTATACGGATGGAGTCAGTACAGCAAAAAAAAAAAAAAAAAAATTCACGGTTCGCGTGAGACTCGGCTGGAAGCCGGGTTTTCCGCATCCGTAGGAACGCCACCACCCTTCAAGGATCAAGGCGCAGATGCAGCTCCTAAAGCGGTGGGAGGTGAGTAGATCAGCTCACCAGCAAGTGGTCAAAGACCGAAAATCCCATTCACTGCATCCATGTTTTCCTCGTGCCAGGCCACGAGTTCCCAATTAACTGTGGGTCGCAGCACGGCTGGAAAAAATCCTTCCGCTTCCAAGCAGGACTTGAACCTGGTACCCTCTGTTTCTCAATCATGGTCTTAGACCATCCCACTATGCCTGCCTGCAGTACAGCAAAGTTACATATAATTCTATAATTCTATGTATGGATGCATGGAGTCAGCACGCGAAGATACGTGTACATAATGCAAACGGAGAACAATGGCATGTCCCTTGATGGGAGATCGAGAAGGTAATTTTGGAAAATTGGATCACGTCTGGAAGAAGAGGAAAACCGCCCGCTTGAAATTGTGCTTGTAAGCTCGCATGCTTCCAACAAGCTTCCAGATTTACAATCATGTAGGTCAATGCATTCATGGGGGTGGTGACGTTTTTACGGATACGGGGAAGTCCGTCTCACTGACTCCGACGCCCCCGGGGTGGCAACTTTTGGCCGGCGAGACAAGAATTCTCTGCCACCATCAAACATGTGACCGTGCAAGAATGGCTTTTCAGTTTCAGAGACAACATGCGTGCCAAAGAGCACAGTAGGCTGCTGCCTTGGGATAGCCACTGCCTTGGGATAGCCACTGAGACAAGGCTTAACCACTTACTAGTACACAGCATGCTACCATAGTTTCCGGAGTATAAGCCACACTAGAGTATAAGCCGGACTGGAGTATAAGCTGCACCCAGATTGTCAGATTGTTTTGTCACGAAATACAAACATCTAACAGCTATGGCCTCGGATGGAGAGCCAAGGATAAATGTTATCGCATTAGCTGATTGCTTAGTAACTGGTGGTGTTAGTGGACATTATAGCGTAACTTGTAGTTCCTTCGTCCTTTTTCTTTCTTGTAAATAATCTAACAGTTACCCTGTGTATCACTGTTAAGTTGAACATTGCAGTACAAGCCGCACCGCGCCGGCTGTTCTGGAGAATTACTGGTGTTCAAAGTGCGGGTAATGCTCTGGAAAAATACGGTAGGAGTGTATGAGCGCGTACCTGGATGCATCCGTTTGTCTGATTTGCGTCGACCAGCGGAATCCAAGCGGTGACCTGAAGCGTGTTTTCGCACTCCGGGTCCAGATAGGCGTTGTCCTGGTGCCAGGGCACGGTGGCTTGCTCCGTGTGCGGCGTCTTGGAGCGCAGGTTCCACACTGGGTGGCCGGCGATGTCGCCGCCGATGAACTGGGTCACAGCGTCCAGCAGCTTCTGACCACTCCAGACGCGCTGGAACTCCTGGTGAACGTCAGCAGCAGGGGAAAAACCCGGGTTACACGTTAGGTTGCACCGGCATACACACATGCACATGAACAGAATGTGAGAGCCTGTAACTGCCGTGTACCCATGCACCCAGGGTCATGACTCATTACCGGTGTGACTTTGAGTGAATACATGTACATTTTTTTCCAAAAGGACACGAAGCCTAAAAAAACAAAAACAAAAACAAAAAACAAAAAAACATACATGTACATTGGACATACATGTACTAGAAATTCTAAGTTGGCTTTCTAAGCCGTTCACTCTAGAACTCATTCACAACAAAAGACAACAACAAGCATAACAGATCCCAAACTCCTCCAACTGATAAAGACAGTGGAGAGCTTGGGCATATCGGAAATTTATCAGATAAAGGCCACGACTATCGAAAGTTCGTATGGCCTTCCGACTGAAAGAGAGCTAAGCGATGATACTATTTTCAAGAGAGTGTGTGTGAGTGAGACAGGGAAGGCGAGAAATGCAGCACAAGGGGCGCAGTACAACAGAAACAAAAGTGGACATGCAACAGAGCCGCTACCATCACGAACTGACAGGGAAGACACATTTACAACGAGTGGCAAGTCACATCACAGATTTCCAGGAAACATATCATGCTGCAGGGCTAGTGATGCAGCGAGTCACACGACCAGCAATGTGACTAGTCATGTGACCTAGCCACATGACTTATCATTTGACTCATCATGTTACTCATCATGTGACTCATCATGTGACTCGTCATGTGACTAGTCATGCGACCAGTCATGCGACTAGTCATGCGACCAGTCATGCGACCAGTCATGCGACCAGTCATGTGACTAGTCATGTGACTAGTCATATGATGAGCCGTGTGACTAGTCATGTGACTAGTCACATGATGAGTAACATGACTAGCCATGTAACTACCCATATAAGGCAACACGTTTTTATTTCTATGTTTCTCGTCACCCGCGCGCATACGATTCAGGAGTCTGGAAGAAAAAAGAAAAAAACTGTGCTGCACTGACTGTGCATGTGGGGACCAGCACACTCATGCACATGTACATAATATGGCCTGGCCTGCGCGACACATGATGCAAGGACGGCATTTTTTGTGCGCAATCTAGCTGCACATGCACAGATTTGTGACAGAAGCTCCTACCACATACTAGTTGCTAACTATGGATGCTATTTTGCATGGTGTATTGGTGGATTTTAGTGTGAACAAAGGTCTAATAAACTTTTTTTTATTTTTCGGTCATTTTTTTTATTTTTTTTCCACCTCTCGCATTCGTTTTTAGATTTTCAGGTGACGAGAAACATAGAAATAAAAACGTGTGGCCTAACTAGTCACGTGACCTAAAAATGAGGTAGAACAGTCTGAAACCAGGGTTACAGTAACTGTTGCAGCTTGCCTTGGGTAGGACTCCGGCCTTGTGAATGAGAACGGAGGCTCCCTTAAACTGCTTCTCCAGCAGCCAAAGACGGGTGCTGACCGGCGCTGATTCACATTTGTCTACGGCAATCAAAACAACCGTGAAACGAAAACGACAGATCAGTGCATGGTGGTCACGGCCATCTAACAACTACTATCTCGGTGCTGAGGAAAGTTCTGTATGAAACGAAACTGCCATGATTGAATGCACTGGTTAAGTGATGCGTATGCTGGTGGTTACATGTAACCCCAATACTGGCAATAGCGGAGACATGTCAGATAACAGTACATGTACATTGTAACG